ACTGATAAAGGAGAGATTCTTACAAAATCTGCAAGAATGTATTTTAGCATTCCTTGAAGGAAGAAGTGGAGCATGTTGCTGATCAGCTGAACAGAAAATAGGGTTTGGTCAAAGAGAAAATCCCTCTGGGAGAGAAAGTCTAAAAGGGTGAGCAGATTGTTGACATCTGAAAGCGGAGAGCTTGGTCGGATGACAAATAGGTATATTTAATCTGGAAAGTTAAAAGCAGAAAAGAAGGGGAATTCAATTTTAAGAGCTTTTAAGTACACAAAGAATGAGTGAGATATGGGACAAATGATCACTGGTTTTGGTAGTTTCAATATGAAAAATGACCTGAAATATGAAGGCTCAGGACTGAATAAATGGATAAATAAATAAATTCAGACAGAAAAATCCCAGCTGAAATACAGTAGATGAGTTTCGATTTTATTGGGTTCCAAGGCAAGAAGAGAGGACAGTGTTTTACACATCACTTCTCCAAAGGCTTGCTCCCAGACAAAGCCCTAACTTATGTTTTAAGCATGCAATTTCTGGTTATGTGATTTTCTTCTGTAAGGCAAGTAAAATTGTGCTATTACTGGATCCCTACATTGTCAGTTTATAGACCATAGATGTTTCTATATTACAGTTAAGACTAAAATTTTCTGTTATCCATCATTTTTATTAGATGCAGTGTACCTTGGCAATAATGTTTGCATTAGAATTAGCAGAAACTGTGTATGTATTGAGTGAGATGAATATTTAGTCCAAAGCATCTTCCTTTAAAAAATATTTCAGATGTTCTGTAATCTTTATGATTGCTGTGTGGAGGTTTATGTGTGTTTGCAATGGAGGAACATACAATTTCCCATTATAATAATCTTTTGCTACTCGTGCAGATCAGGCTGAATAGAGCTGAGTATTTTCAGATGATGATTTTTAAACCAAACTCTCTAACTCTCTGTACGGAAAATAATTTAGGTAGTGACTACTACCTTTAAAACTTGCATAGACAAATGAAAAGGGAATTGTAGGGAAAACAAGCAAGTAAACTTCATTCCTCTTTAACTGATATATCTTGTGAGCAAAAGACTAAAATGAGAGCAGAAGTGTAAGAAATACTGATTCCAGAAGATGGCACTCTTAAACTGTGTATTTTTAAGCATAAATTTAGTCACAATTCATGACTACATATGCACTTTCCTATTTGTCTAAACTATTTAATTATTTATCTGTACCCAAAGGTAGGGTAAAATGTAAAATATATTCATCTTCATGCAGTTTTCACTCCAAGAAACAGTATTTATTTTGCCAGCTAGAAGCCTCACTAATTAAAATGAATTGTCTATAAATAAAAATTATATATTGTGAAACCTAGAGAAAGCTGCAAAACAAAATCAGCAACTATGTTTAAACAGCATAGTCACATCCACTAAAATTAGGCTTCTCTGTTGTAGAAATAGTAGATAAGATAAACATTTAGAAGATAATTACAAAGTTCATGATATGTGTACACAGATGTGTTAATAATACTTTTTATTTATTTATGATGATAATTATTATTTTCTATTGGTAATGCAGGTCTCCTTTAAAAAAAAAAAAAAAAAAAAAAAAAAAGTTCTGTGAGTATTTGTGTATGTGATTATAAAAAGATCTATTAAGGTTTGATAGGTCTAGTTCATTTGTTCCACAAAACTCCCCAAACTGCCTGATTTATGTCCAAATGTAGAGAAAAATATTAGTATTAAAACTGCATAGCAGGATAGCAGGAGGTGCAGTCTTTGAACATTTACAAAGAAGCAGCAGAAGATGGTTATAAGCAAGATGCATATAAGCAAGATGGTTATTACTATACAATAAATGACAGTTGAGGATGTAATTAATTAAATTCTGTCTTGACTAATATGGCCTCTAATTTTAGATGTATGACCTTAAACAAATAATACTTGTTTTCAGCTATGATATTTTTTTCTGCTGTATTTTCCAATGTGGTGTCTACTTTCAGAATTAAAAGAATTAAGTAACTCCATTCTTTTTCATCTGAAAGATCTACATAGTCCCTTTTCCAAAATCTATAGCGGACAAATTTTGTCTGGTGTCTAGACTAAACTTAATTTATTTTTCCTTATGTCTAAGATTCTGTAATTTCATAATCAAGGTGCTTAAAAAACATTCTTTAGTAGTGACTGATGAACATTTTCAGGACACTTTCTTTATAAAGTAGCTAATGTATTTTACTCTTACTTTTTGTTGAGTGGTTGCAGACAACAGAGAAGGTAATAAAGATCTTAGTGCCATGTGTGACATGAACATTAGATATAACAACTAATATAATAACAGATTTTTCCAGCTATTGTTTACTGAAATGGAATAGTAAATAGATTTGAGCACATATTTATCTAGAAAATTAATATATTCCTTTAATTAAATTAGTATATTTTTGCAAAAATTATTTAACAAAAAATCTCAGGCAGAGAGCTCTGTATGAATTAACATGGAAAACAACAAGCTGAACCATTTATTCCTGCTGTATACTTTATATGTGAAATGGTTCACAAAACAAAATTACAAAACAAGCAGTTAATACTATATGAATAGTAGCAGTTCATAAATATTTTTCAATTTTGGACATTATGATCAATTTAGCTGTACATATGATTTTTGAGGAGTTTACATAATTATTTGTGCAAGATTCCTTCCTGCTTTTCTTATGTGATTGTTGTTGAGCTCATGTTCATAAGGACACTTAGCTTTGTTCACTAAAAATTTGCAGATTTGGAAATACGACCATGAAATGTGTCATATTATTTCTGAGACCATTTGAATGTATAATTGTAATAGATCAGGCTCCTTCCTTATTTAAAAAAAAAAATCTAGGAAATCAAAGCTTAAAATATTAAGCAATATGTCAGTATTGAATTCTGTACATTATGCTGTTGCTGGAAGTAATGTGGTCCAATGAATGCTTCAGGACTTGGGAAATGTCTAGAGTTCTATTCTTCAGATACGTCTAGATAGATTTGCCTTGCAATGTTCTGCATGGCAATGAACAATGAAAGCACTTTGCAGCTTGACGGAAGAGGTGCATGCAAGCTGATTAAGGTTTGAAAAGTATGTAGCCATGTCATTTTTGTTGCATTAGTACAAATGTAATTATGAATGCTGTTACAACCACATAGATAACTGTACAAGAAAGTATACTATTTTACATGACTCACTGATGTAGACAGCACTTATTCTGCGATGTGTACATATTTCTGCTTGTTCAGTAAAAACAGTTTTACAAGGCTGTACAATTCATGTCAGAACTCTGAATCTCTTTTAAATCTCCCTGTGCGAAAATCATCATTGCACAAAACCAAGGTTAAATCAGATAATTGCCTAATGCAAAAAGCAAGAAGTATCTGCTATCCAAAGAAGAGGAATCTTAGCTTGTCTTCTACTGGTTTAAATTTAATTTATCAGCATAATTTGATACTGATGGTCCTTCATTCTCTTTTGTGATATTTTATTATATTTACTGATATAAACTTTGAAATATGAAAATATTTCCAAATTTCCATATTAGTAACAGTAGATATTTTTGCTATGTATTTAAATGTCTTTTTTATTTTTTCCCTAGGATATTTTTTTATTCAGTGAGTTCCATTAATTCATAAACTTCAGATTTTCATATAAAATGCATATTTTCCTATATATTTATATATAGTCTATTATATGTATATATACACACATATACATATGTATATATATAGAAGATACATAGATAGAATTGAATATAGAATATATATATATTCTATACTTTTTATATTTTAAATCTAGTAACATCTCATTCTAGATATATATTCTAGATATATATTCTAGAAATATCTATATTCTATATATTTCTATATATTCTAATATGAATTTTATTCTTACTAAAATATGGATTTCTATGCATCTTATAGCATCCAAAAATTTTATTTAAATTAAAAAACAAACAAGCAAACAAAAACCTAATCTGAAAGTGTCTCATTCTTTAAATTAGATGTTACTAGATTTAAAATATTGGGAATTTTCCCTAATACTAAAATTGATAATGCATATTGCCCTTAAGAATAAAATGGATTTGCTTGAATCATTTTAAGCACTTCTAGGGTCAAATGACTCTCCTTTTTCTGATGGATAAGTGGAAGCCATTGGGTTACTGTTTTTTTTTCCGATTGTCAGTTACATGCAGGGTAGAGGAACTCCAGAAATAATAACTTTTTTTGTTCATAGTTGTTTGTTAAAGTTGCAATACTATCTTATGAGTTCTGATCCGAAAGTAATGACCCTGATTCAATTATGTTGGCCCACAACATCAGAGGTTCATTTTGTTGGCATGGCATTAGAGGCCTTCCCAACAACATTCCATTGCATTTGTTTCTATGTGGCAGATCACAGCAGAGGCACAATCTGACAAAATGGTATCTGACATGGAAATGAGTGTGAATCAAAGGTGTGTAATTGAATTCCTCCATGCAGAAAAGAAATGGCACCCACTGGCATTCATCAATGCTTACTTATTTGTGGAGACAAAACAGTGAATGTGAACTGATACAGAAGTTTATGAATGCAGCATGCAGGTTCTTGTTCATCACTGTTGAGAATGGATAGCTGATGGTGATTATGCTGAAAAAGAATGTTTTATAGCTGAGAATTTGCTCTATGAAATAGTGTTACTATGCTCTGTGTATCAGTTGTAGTTTCCATGGAAATAAATAGGAGGCATTAATTTCAGAGACATCTACATATATTTAGAAACTTGCTATTTATGTCTTTCTTTGAAATTGTCTTTGATACAGATTCAGATTCCCTTGAATGGAATATTATACACGGTATGGGAACTGCGGAGTCATAGCCTGAACCTCTGATTGATCACCTGAGGTGAGCAATGAGTCAGCCATGGGAGCACAGCTGAAGGCAATTCACCTGTGCTGCTGGAAGGGTTGGAGCCTGGCTCCACCTCTCCTAGACACATTTAAGGGCTGACTACCAGTGGGGAAGGCTCTCTACTGGAGATCCACTCTGTTGGAGTTTCCTAAGTGAGCCTAGGATACGAGTAAGTATTCTATCTATTTTCTTTGTGTTATTATAATCTACTTTGCCTAACTCTCTTGTTTATTTCGTAATTATAACATCTTAATATTCTTTGATTATACGATACCATATATTTTGGGTGCCCATCTTTATATATCTATGTAAATTTAGGAAATATATTTTTTCTAAACTGGCTGTGTTTCAGGTGAAAAGAATGGTTGTGATCCTCCTCCAGCTTTGCTTTTGTTGCTGATCTCCATGAAAGGTTTTCCTCTGTAAAACCTACATGAGTTACAGTTACTTAAGTAACATGGATGCTAAAGAAGTAAACAGAAATAAAATATAAGAACTGCATTACTTTTGATAACCATTAACCATGTCTCTGTTGATCATGCTGGCTATTGTGAAGTATAAAGTAGCTTCTTTTTTTCTTTTGTGTAGATCAGAGATTGTAGTGACAAATATCCTGAAATCTAAAGCTTCTGTCAGGCAGCAGGAATTTTTATGAAACATAAATTTACATTTTAATTTAAAACCAACCAATCAACTGTCTAAAAAAACAAGCAACTCCCTCTCCCTCCTCCAAACAACTAACCTAACAAATAATGTATTTACCCATTGCATTTAGTAAACTTTCCTCCTAAAGACCAAATACCATTTTTGTTTAATGATGTTATTGTAGACCAACTGTTATGTCCACTTTCAAAAGAGTATCTATTTAATCCTAATTAATTCTTTCTTTTTTTTTGTAAACCAACATTATCCATTGCATCTTGTAACTCACATGCCCTTCTGTTTCCTCACTTGGAGGAATATCTGAAGCAATTCTGGAAGAATTTTATTTGAAGTAGTTCTAAATTATTCATATTCAGAATCAGAAAATGTTTGGAATAAATCAGGCATCAGATCATATCTGTTCTTGTAGCAGTCTAGGATAGTACTTCTTGAAGCATTGAACTGACTTTGAAAGTAAAATTGGACAACATTTTGGAGCACCCCATCTTAATGATACATTTTAAGTTCCCATTTCTAATTAGAAAATCAAGAAAAATCAAGAACTGTCCAGTGTCAATACTGCACCTAATTTTTGTTCATTTAACTTATTTATTATGAAATAAACTAAATTACTTATCTATGCTCCATATATGTTTCATGCAGGTAGATAACGTTTATCTGGATAAGAACCTGAATTCTGAACAAGACTCTGCCTGTCTTGCTAGAACGTAATTCAGAAAATTCAAGTATGTGATTTGGCCCCATGTTTTTATTTTGGTGTAACAGGATGTTGTCTTTGGAAATTATTCCATTTAATTGAATATCCTACTGATTAGAACAGTCATTGATGAAAAGAAAACCATGCTTTATTTCCTCCTCTGTACTCACATCTGAATCTCTCCTCTTTCCCAAGGAGAACATCTGAAATACCACCACGTAAGGTATTCAAAGTGAAGATATCTGACAATCTTCTTCATCGTGGTATGTGACTATGCAGAAATCAGTTTGGGAAGTTGTGAGCTAAAATGTCTGCTCATTATTGCCTGACTTTCTTTTACTGCATTTGCTGCTTCATCTGCCTAGTGCATTCTTACTGGTATCTAGATTGGGAACTATTTAGAGCAGAAGCTTGCTTTTTGATTACTTGTCTTCACTGTGCCCAGCACAATAGAGCTCTGATCTTTGATTGAGGTACACATAAAAGAAAAATCAGAACTAAATAATGGTCCTGTGAAATAAGCCTACTGGACTGACAGTCTCTAAAATTACTTGACTCTCTTGAAATCACAAGGTATAATCATATTTAATGTCCTAATCTTAAGTAGGAATGCCAAGATTTTTCCTTAACTTGCAGGAGAAAAAACAGTGCTCAAGAAAATGTAATTGGACTCAGCCTGATGACATCTGTGTTCAAGAATTTTTTTGAACTGATTTCCCTACCAAGCACTAGAACAAATATCTTGCAGTATTGTCTTTCATGGTTTGAATTAAATAAATGAATGGAACAATGCTTTTTTTTTTTTTGCATATAACCTTTCTTCAGCATGCTGTCACAAATAATTGTTCAACAGTTCATCAACTTTATTATTTACAAAACATTACAATTAAAAAAGATTAAAATTTGAAGAAAACATGCTTTTAATAGCTAATCTTGAAGTTCTGTTGGGTGAGTTTCAATAAAATATTAATGCTTATATTGTTACTCTGATACTAACTGAAAATACGATGTAAAATGTTTCTATCAAACACTGAGGGATAACCAGTTTACACATGAACAATCAAGTGAAAGGGCTGGTCAAAATTCACATAGAGATTGATGAAACTAAAGATAAAGAGATGAATATCTGAAAAATAATTGGATCAGCTTATGGGATGCATTATGGGAGGGGAAATCTCCATTTCATTCAAATTAGGTGGGAACACTGATAGTTGAGATGCTGCGGCTTTCCTTTTTCTTCATATATTAAAGGTGTATTTAACCTACTATGGCACCACTATGGCAAATACATTTTTATATTTTTTAGGGCAAGGGGGAGTGACCTTAAACTGAGACAGGGGAGGTTTAGGTTAGGTATTAGGAGGAAGTTTTTCACTCAGAAGGTGGTGATACACAGGAACAGGTTGCTCAAGGAGGTTGTGGATGCCCTATCCCAGGAGTCATTCAAAGCCAGACTGGATGTGGCCGTGGGCAGCCTGGTCTAGAGGTTGGTGACCTTGTACGTAGCACGGGGGTTGAAACTAGATGATCATTGTGGCTCCTTTCAACCCAGGCCATTCTATGATTGTGATATATGTCTCTGTTTTGGCTCTTAAATGTCCCTAAACTTGCATCAATTTAGATTGTGGGTGTACTTCAAGTACAATTAACTGTTCACGTAATGGCAGCTGAGGTGTTACAGCTAACCACTGTATGAATGAATTACAATCTGTGTCAAACTTTGATTCCTTGATCCATTTTTTCCTGGAAGATGTAAATGCAATTCTATGAAAGACAACACTACCATCTCAAGTCTTCAGCTAATCAGTCTGAGAATACATCAAGGAGTTGTGTACATTATCAAGACAGAGAGAGATGTCATGGTTTTGTGATTTTTTTTTTTTTTGGTATTCCACATCATGACATCATGTGGGGCACTGGGAGTTTAACTGTTAATGCTCAAGTTCTGAGTACCTGCCCAGAAGAGAAGAACAACTATGTTCCCCAGGGGACTTTGCGGTCACAGAGAGGAGATATAACTCCTCGCTAGGTCACCAGATCTGCTCTTCTTTGTCGACTTGCCTCCTCTCTCCCTGCAGCTCAACTGGATTGCACATCTCACCTCAGTGTTATAGTGAGGTCTGTCCACCTTCCGGACATTCTCTCTCTCATTATATTTGATTTATTAGCTTCAATTCTAATTATATTGTATTATAGTGTGCTATCTTGCATTCCGATACTAAGTAAATTAGTTTGTTTCTTCTCAGATTGTTGCTGCTGTTTTTAATTATTTTGGGGTCCCCTGTTCCCCTTTTTCTGGAGGTGTGGATTTTATAAAATCCCTCTGCCCTGCTAGTCACGGAACTGGGCTGAACCAGCCTGTAAACTGTTGACAAGAGATGATGTCAGTGTAACACTTCAAATTACTATGTCAAAACAAGTGAAAATGATGTTTAAATTAGTTCTCTGCTAAGAGAAAGGGATGTTTAAGATGTTTACAACTATGGTTTGTAGGAATTTTATTCCTAAAATAGGATAGTAAAAGAACTGGTAAGTTAATCAATCTGTTTGAAAAACCCCAATGAAATAAATGTGTTGTATATTTGGATTGCATTCTAAATCAAAACTAAAAGGATGTTTCTAATTTGCCTCCCATGCAAAATGGAAAATAATCTTTCAGGAAGTTGTTCCAGATGTTAGTAGCAGTATAACTACTTTACAGATGTATCAAGAGTAATCTGTAAACTTACCAAGAATGGAAAGAGTACTGACCAACTAAGATAGTTGTGCTATCAGGGATAAAGGAATAATAATAAATGGGACTTGGCAAGGAAGTTAGCTGTAATAATCAGAGTTCTTCAGACATGTAAACACATTAAAAAAAAACCCCAAACCCTGAGATCGCTATATAGGAAAAATGATACTGAAATTAAAAATTATCTATGTGCATTACAGAATTAAACACTTGTTTTCTGATTTCAGGGTCAAGGACATATAAGAAAATGTGGCTATGTAAATACATATTACTGGAATAGAGACTGACAATCTCATTGTGTTCAAATTGTCAGGCCATAATGTTGGCTGAACTAATACAAGCAATGAATTTTAATACATGTGCTAAAAATGGCAGTAATTATATAGTAACAAATACAGTGTTCTTTTGTTGTCTGTTGTCTTACAACTTTTTGTAAGTAACTCCTCTTTTTTTTTTCTGGTCTGGATGTCTGGACAATCTCACTTTTTGGAAAGATCACTTACTCAAAGGTTTTCTGAAAACAGTACTGAATTTATATTGCTCAGAGCCTTTCTTTTAATCAAGTTCTGAACATCTCAACATAAATTCTATTTTCTCTCTGGGAAATCTGTTCCAGTGCTTAACCACTCTAATTGTGCATGTTTTTTTTTCCTTATACTGAGTTGCAATTTCTGCAACTTGTATTTATTACTTCTTGTCCCATTGCTCCGTTGCTGTGCACATCTGAGCAGAGTCTAACTTCATCTTCTTATTAATCTGAAGGACTGATATTAGGTTCTCCTCTGTCCTTAGCTTTTTTTTTTTTTTTTTAACCAATGTCTAGGCTAAAATACCTCCAAGTCCCCTCAATCTCTTCTCACATGCTAGCAGCTATAGGACCCAAACAGCCCTCCTCTGATTTTGCTGCAATTTGTCAATATCTCTGCAGCACTGAGGTCCTAAAGAACCATTATTCTCAGTGCAGCTTCACAGGTGCTTTAGTGGAGTGGAAATTTTTACAAAATTGGTCCCTATCTATTCAGTCTTCAAGCTGTCTAATGGCAGAAGGATTGAGGGGGATGCACTGGGACTTTACATTTATATTTACTGAACTTTGTGAGATTCCAATGAACTCACACCTCTAGTGTACAGAAACACCTTTAAATGGCTACCCTGTCCTTCAGTAACCCTTCAATGACCATTCAAGTTTGAAAGTTATCCATGAACTCAATGAAAGTGTATTCCATTACAATGCACAGATTACTGAAGATACTAATCCCAGCAGAATGTTACTCATAAATAGCTACCTGCTAGACTTCACTTTGTTGAGCATTACATTTTAAGTCTTGCGACTCAAACAGTTCATCACTTATCTTGCAGTGAATCCATTCAGTCCATATCTCTGCAATTTAGCTACAAGGCTGATGCAGTGTAGGAGATTATTTTTTGCAACATAGCCTCAAAGCTAGCTGAGGAACACTGATGGACACATCCTGGGTAAAGTTTGAAAAATCCTTTGTCTGAGGGACACAGATGGACAAGCCCAGGCAAGTCCTGGTCAAAGTTGGCAAAATCTTTTGTCTGAAAATTTGCAGGGCAAGGGGAATGAGAGAGAGAGAAGCCACAGCGTAATGGCCAGGAAGCAGTCTTTTGTATGGGCTTATCTCAAGGGAGATAGCCACCTAAGGGGGCACTGCACATGACTCTTACCCAAGCACCCAGGAATGCTACATTGGCTGAAGGATAAAAAAGGGACCGACAGCCATGAGGATAGGTGTCTGAAATCAGATTCCTCACAACATGCCTGCATGCTGAAGAAAAAGAAGAGGTCTCTGACATCAGATTACTCACGATGTGATGCCTGCATGCTGAAGAAGAAGAAAAGGTGTCTGATATCAGATGCTTCACAACGTGATGCCTGCCTGCTGATGGATTCTCCGGGGCCTGCTACCTGAGATTTGCTCCTTCCCCCCCAACTTACCCTGTCGCTACACCTGCTTGATGCCTAAGGCTGGCCACCTTGGACCATCAGAACAATGTGCAACAGGACGCTGCTGGATGTTGGTGGTGACTATTCCCTCTTAACGTAATTCTTGCTTCTTTCCTATCTTTTCTATCACCTGCTTTCCCTTCTTCATCACCCTGTGTCATGGTTTTGGTTTTTGCTTATTTGATTTTCAATATTCCACATCAAAACATCATGTACTGGAATTAAAGTGTTAATGCTCTAATTCTAGGTACCTATCCCTATACATTATGGAAGTCATGGGATCTGACCCTTCCGGGGGGGTGGTCTCTTACTGCCTGGCAGCGGGTGCTGGAGGGTGCTTTCCTAGCCGTTCCAAGCTTTTTCAGGTTTGACTCGGTCTCGGGAACTCTCTCTCCTATCTTATTTGATTTATTAGTCTCAATTTCAATTAGATTGTATTATATTGTATTATTTTGTATTCCGATATCATAGTTAGTAAAATAAGTTTACCTCCATAGATTGTTGCCGCTGGTTTTTTTTCCTTTTCCCCCTTCCTTCCCATTTTGTGGGCCCAGGTGGGGGGTGGGGAGGGCAGGGGCCTACTGCCCCCTGTCACGGGCATAAACTGATCTAGTTAATTCCGTGACAGATTTTGGTGGAGAATGCGGGCATAGCTGCCTTTTTGTTTTTGGTTTTTGCTTTTTGGCTCTTAGAACGAATTTTGCTCTCTGCTCTTAGAGAGCTTCGTTAGGGAGCATTATCAGTAGTTCAGGTTTTGTGCTGGGAAACTT